CTGCTGGGCCCCCCATGCTGCGCCCCCCGGGGGACATGGGGGCTTGGGGACGGCGGGACCCCCCCCCCTCCGATTCAGGGACCCTGCATGGGGACCCCAAATCCACAGGGTCCCCCCCAGGTCACCCTTGGGTGTCCCCCTGCCCCTACTGTCCCCCAACTTTAATCACTGGGGGTCCATAAGCCCTGAAATAGGGGGTACAGAGGTGCCCGTGTCCCCCATTGACCCCTCAGGGTGGCTGTGTCCCTCCCATTAGCCCCTCGGGGTGCTGGTGTCTCCCGTTAACCCCCCCGGGGTGGCCTTGGGGTGCCCATGTCCCCCCCGTTAACCTCTCAGGATGACCTCAGGGTGCCCGTGTCCCCCGTTAACCCCCTGGGGTGGCCTCGGGGTGCCCGTGTCCCCCGTTAACCCCTCAGGGTGGCCTCGGGGTGTCCATGTCCCCTATTAACCCCCTCAGGGTGACCTCAGGGTGCTCGTGTCCCCCGTTAACCCCCTGGGGTGGCCTTGGGGTGCCCGTGTCCCCCGTTAACCCCTCGCTGGCCGGTACCATGGAGAACTGGTCCTCCTCCACCTCGGCCTCGCTGCCCTCCCGTGGCTCCATGGGGACGTTGTGGATCCGCACCAGCATCTTGGCGGCCGCGTTGCGCTTCGCCAGCTTCTTGGAGGTGCCGCTGCCTGCGGGGAAGGGACGAGGGACACCGAGGTGAGCCTGGCACCCTGTTGTGTCCCCCCTCCACGCCCGGGGGGTGCCCCGGCCCCGTACCGATCTCCACGAAGCGCTCGACGCGGCAGGTCATGGTGAACTCCTTGCGATGCGCCGGCCCCGACTCCTGTGTCACCGTGTACTCGGGCAGGCGCCAGCCCTTCTGCACCACCAGCTCCTGGGGCGGGGGGACAGAAATGGGGGGGTCCGGGGAGGGCAGGGTCACGGGGTCCCCCCCCGAAATGGGGAGAGCTGCCCTCAGAAAGGAGCTGCCATCCCCGAAACGGGCACTGCCAGCCCCAAAACAGGCGGGGCCAGCCCCAAACTGGGTCCACTGCCTCCAAAATAGGGATAACCATCCCCAAAATGGGAAGAACCGTACCCCAAATGGGGATAACTGTCCCCAAATGGGGATAATTGTCCCCAAAATAGGGATATCCATTCCTGAAATGGGAAGAACTGTACCTAAAATGGTGATAACTGTCCCCGAAATGGGGATAACTATCCCTGAAACAGGGATAATTGTCCCCAAAACAGGGATAACTGTCCCCCAAATGGGGATGACCATCCCCAAAACAGGGATAACCATCCCCAAAATGGGGATAATTATCCCCAAAACAGGACAACTGTCCCCAAAATGGGGATAATCGTCCCCAAAACGGGTTCAACCGTCCCCAAAATGGGTCCACCATCCCCACAACAGGGATAACTGTCCCCAAAACAGAGATAACCATTCCCAAAATGGGGATAACTGTCCCCAAAACAGGGATAACCATCCCCAAAACAAGGATAACCGACCCCAAAATGGGTCCACCATCCCCAAAACAGGATAACCATTCCCAAAATGGGGATAACTGTCCCCAAAAGGGGCAAGAGCCCCCCGCCAGCTGGGGTGAGGCAGCCCCCAAAGGTCACCGCCACCCCCAAAATGGGCCAGGTCACCCCCAAAGGGGCATGCCCCCCCCTCCCCCAGATAGGGATGGCCATCCCCAAAACAGGCTCATCACCCCCAAAATGGGGACGGCCACCGAGCCGGGGCGGGGGCACGTCCCCGTTTGTCCCAGCCCGTGGTGGCACCCACCTGCAGAGCGCCCACGGGGTTACATTCCGACTGGGGGGGGGACACGGGCGTCTTCATCTCCAGGGGGGTGCCCCTGCGTGGGGCAGACGGGCACGGCGTGAGGGGGGCATGGCTCCGAGCCCCCCACGCCAGGACCCCTGGGTTGGGGAGGCGAGGAGGGGTAATGGGGTGC